TGGCTTCACACTTTTTCTCAGTTCCCAAAGTTGGATGTTCAGACCCCAAAAAAGATCCAGTGAGGGATGGCCAGAAAACCAGCCCGCAAGGAGTTTGGAGAGAAAAAGAAAGCAGCAGCAAAGGAAAACGCAGCTCTCCGAGGTTTCAATGTACCAGGTCCCCATCATCTGCCTACATTTTTACCCACACACCATTTAATCAGTGTGCCAGGGAGCCTGGCTCCCTGCCAGTGGGAATGCGGATTCCGACAGTTTGTCTAAAGTGCAGTCAGAAATTGCAGCTAAAGAGAAAGAGCACTTCATTTCTTAATTTTGTGTGTGTGTGCGTGTGTGTGTGTGTGTGTGTGTGTGTGTATGGGCTTTTTTTACCCCCACGAAACAATTACAATTTCTAACTGCCGCCTACACCTCAGTTGCCTAAGAAACGCAGCGTGGGTATGGCTGTGGCAACAGGACTTGGGTTTTACACCATGCTTGCTATCATTGCCTGGCTGCAAGGCCCCCACAGAACTGTCCCAGCAGCCAGACACAGAAATTATTCCTGCCCCAGGCACAGACCACTGCAAATTCCTTCCACAGCTGAGCAGCTCTTTGGGAGAAGCCAAGGGATGTGGTAGTTGGTGTCTTTATTACTCAGGTAAGTGTGCTGCTAATGGCATTGGCTCCATCCATCCCAGTCTCAGTACTTGTGCTTATGGGGTGCCCATCACAGTTCAGGCTGGGATGGGATGGGATGGGATGGGAGGAAATGAGGCAAGAAGCAGTGTGCACCATGAGCTGGGTATCACATATGCACTCCTGACTGGGCAGAAGCATTTTCCACACCCACCCTCACAGCAGCATCCCCATCATCACCTTGATCAAAACCATTTTTCCTCAAAGGACAGGGCATATGTCCATCCTGAAGACTGCACCCCCAACAAGTGTTCAGCGACACACATCTTGGTTAACAAGTCCCTGTTGTAACTGCCTTGAAAAGAGAATATCTGCTCTTTTCACACTGGACATTTAGGCAGAGAGGAGAAGGTCACTCAAGCTGACTAAAAATAGTCACCTTCCAAAATGCTGACAGCGCATATCTACACTGCACTTCCGAGTGAGGCAGATTAGAAAGAGGATTTCTGGCTGAAAAAAAACACATTTTCTCGGGGGAGAAGAAAACAAAAAATACCCACTCACCCAAATCACATATTTTGAACAATCTCAGTATAGTGGTGATGGAAAATGGGATTCAGCTTGGTTTTGGGTTTTCTTACTGTCCTTTCTTCAAAGACACTCCTCATCCTGCAGACAGTGCACAGATTTATGGATGCTGCCAGTTTCTAAGCTACAAAGCCCAGGAAGGAATATTTACCTTGGCTAGCTCTGAGCACTTCTCCCTGAAGGCCAGCACACAGCATGCTGTCCTGACCTCATGGCAGCCCCAAGTGTTCAAAACGCCTCTGCAAACAGTGGGGGTATGAGAAGTTTTCACCAAAAGAGCACTCTGATAAAGGAGAGGCTAGGCAACCTTCACAAGAGGCTGCTCCTTTCCCATTAATGGATTGCCATTTCCAATGATAACTGAATCTGTGTACTGTTCGGTTGCCTCCCATGCTTTTTATTTACAGTCTTGTTCAGTTTTTGTCTTGTCTCTGGCTTTTAAACATTTCCTGGTCGCTCTCCCCTTGGGCAAATCATCCTTGCAATCATCTTTTCCACAGGGTTTTCAGTCTTTGATGCTACATTCTGCTTTCTTTTCTGCAGAACTCTAGCCATCTGTACAGTACATTTCACCTGCCTTTCAAGACTGTCAGTAAAGGCCCTTCAGTACCTTTACACATGCAGACAAGTAGTGTTGCTAATTGTGAAAACACAATGCTTGTGCACTATAAAAGTCTGTCCCTGAGATTTTAATTCATAGACCTTGCTTTCCCAACATGTCTTCTTTACCGTGTTTGTATTCTCAAGACTCATCCTATTTAGCTTGTGGCTTGTGGTCCCTGGCATAATTCAAATATTTACAAATATTCCTACAAACATCCTTGCAGTGCTCTCAAGTCATTCAATGTGTTGTGGTTGAAGCAAGTAAAGATTAGGTAGGAACCACTCCTTCCCCCAGTGTAACTGCTATTTCAGGAAGCAACTCCCTCCATTTAGATTGCAAGACCAAGATGTAACTGACAGAAGGAAATTACAGACTTTAGTAATTAAGCAACACGTTATTAAGGAAATGGTCAATCTATTAAGTAATCAATATACTAATTATTAAATAAAAACACCACTATTGCTAATCTGCAATTATACTGTTTTCCACCCTATTACACACAATTATAAAGCTGTTAATTTCACGCTCCTAAATCTTATGAATCACATACATCAACTACTCACTCACAAATTCATCACCTTCCCTGCTCTACATGACCTATCACCATGGTGGAAATCTATTCCTTTGCAGCCCATCCTCCCACAGCAAGTTTTTTAGACACAGTGCTGATGGAAAGCCAGATGGGGAGTCCTGACGGCTCAGGTTGCAAATCAGTGATGCATCTGTAAGCATCTGCACTCCTCCTTTCAGAAGGTTCCCCTGTCCTTTGTTCTTTACCTGATTTTATGCCTTATTCATCACTGTTTCTATTTCCTGAAACAACCTTTTTGCCACTGCTGTGCCTCCCTTTCCCTGCCCAAGTTCTTCCCTAAGGCATGACACATCCATTGTCAGTTTATCTCACTGGCCAGATTCAGCAAAATCTGTACCAAAGTCTGGGGTTCCCAAAGTTGTTATCAGGGCAATCTCAGTTTTATAAAATGTTACTGATACACCCTGCCTGGGTATAGGGGACCAAAACCTCCTAGATCTCCAGTTCATAATAGCATTACCTTACCCTACACATTCTCCGAGGCAAATAAGTACTTAGCCTTGATTCCTCCACCTAGTTAAGTTCCTTCTCTTTGCATCTTATTGTGAAGAGAAGACCAGCAAAACAAAGACCCACATCATTTGTGTACTGATCCACCCAAAAACTAGCTGTGGAATGGGACTGGAAGAGATGCCCCAAAGTGAACATGACCATGACACAGCAAACCTGGCAAGCTGGCTAGATATTGTGTAGTAGTTCATATTTTCTAGGATGGTCCTTTTTCTGGGAGAAATAGTCAGCATAGTGGCTGACATAATTTCTTTTGGAAAACATCAGCTTAGCAGCAAACATGAAACAGGTGTGTGATGACCTGAAAAACGAAAACCTGGGTCATCATCATATGATACCCCAAAGCTACTGGGTATTTTTGCCCTTACCTTGCTGATTAGGAGGCCACTGCAGTACATCAGTGCTCTGATGGATTAGAACTTTCTTGTCATTTCTAATCTAGAGATAACCCATGACAATTTCAGACCAAGTTCAGTCTTAATTTTGGGCTAAGTCACTTTCTCATGCTACATTATTTATAAATAGTCGAAAAAATTTTTGTAGCTGCTGTGGACCGTGGAGGTTTCTCCTGCATATATAAGCTAGCTCTTTCAGACTTCCTTGATAATTACATTCTGTACTTGGAAACTTGAACTGAAAGTGGACAATGAAGAGAATACAAATACATCTGTCTTTCACTTTGCATCTGTTCTGTCATTTTGTTCTAGTTTAATGCATTGTGAGCAACGTGACGTGACTAATGATTCCAGGCAGAAAAATCACCAGAAGACGCTCAGTGTTGACTTTGTCAGCTAGGAAGACAAAATAAGAAAAGATGTGGTGAGCAGCACTGACATTAACATCAGACACAGTTCAAACATTCATTTGGGCTTAGAGCAGGCATTTAATACATCTTTGTAAAACGCTCCCACCCATCCTTAATACCACTTTGTTTAGTCTTTTCATAAAAGACACACTAATCCAGGAGCATCCATGGGAATAAAAAATCCCAAGTGCTTTGAGGTAACCAGGATGGAACAGCAACAAAAAAATCTGACATCCCATGGCACAGTGTGAAAACAACCCCAAGCACGAAACTATCTTGAGCGCTGAAGGTCTTGCCATTCATCTGAAGGCAACACGCTGACACTCTAGGAGGAAAAATACTATGAAACAATCATCTCAGTACAGTCAAACATTCCCCCAAATCTTGGTAAGAAACAACATGCCTTCCTTAATACTGTCTCCAAGTACAACCTCCTAGCCCTGTTGTAAAGCTTGGGCACGCCCCACCTGTGTCGGACACATCCTCTTCATTTGCCCTGTTATTCACCCTCCACAGAGTGTCTTATCTTCCCATGTTGAGCTGTGTCCAACCCAACTGCAAGCACAAGGCTATTTCCTCTCACTTTGCATAGCCCTAGTTTCTTAACCACTCCCATCTCTGCCTTTTTGCACTCCACCTTTTTCTTTAGCGTCTGACTTTTCTGACTTTCACCTGTCCTTGCTTCCCGTCCACCAAGTCAACAGCAACTCCCAACCTCAACAGGGCCCTCAAACAAAGTACCTCATACAAATTTCAACTCCCAGTCGTTTCTGAGCAGCTGTTTGCTGCAGCCTCCCTCTTTCAACCCATGTGTTGGGAAAACCAGTTACTTCTCTTCCTGCTGTCTCTTTACAGCAAGCAGTGGTAACTCTGCAGGCTACACAGCCAGAAGGGATGTTTGCTCTTGCCTATGAGCAAAAGGAGGAGAGGCATGCTCCAGCTGCCCTGGGCTCCGCTGGTTACCCCAACCACAGGCCTCTTTTCATGTTTTGTTTGGTAAGGACCATTTGCTGTATATTTCTGTGGGGATGCACTGGCCTCTGCCCTGCAGATGCAGATTGTGCTTCTGTAAGGCACACAGTATGCTCCAGCTCAGGAAACCTTGAAACTGCTGACTGATGGAAGTCAGAAGGGTGCACTGGGAAAGGAAAGGGCTGCACCAGTTCATTGGTCTGTAACCTCCCTGTTACAGACCTGTAAAACCACCGTCGTGTTCTTGGTTGTAGGAAGCAACTGTCAGGGCTCAAACAAACAAACAAACAAACAAAAAACCCCATTCAACTGCAGAACATGAAATACATTTGGTTTATTTCTTTCTAAAGTTTGTACATATACATATATCATTATACATATGTGAGATCCTTCAATAGGGTTGCTTGATTTCAATGACATAAAAATTATTGGGAAGCTTGCAGGCTCTTTGTTGCCCGTAAGCAACATTTATTCCAACTTATAAAAACACAGAGGAACAGAGTTATAGTCAGGAACATGGACACGAGAGAAGTCTACTTTATATCTCACAGTTTCAATACATCAAAGGCAAATTATTTGTTTGTATACTGTAGGCTTACTTTATCAGCAATGATAAAATAGAGGAAAATATTTATATACAGTCACCTCAAGTGAAAAATAAAGCAATGTAAACTTAAATTCCAAAATATTATTTTAAATGATATAACAATATCCCCAAAAGCCCTTCTTCCAAGGGGAAGAGGACTGATTAAGTGCCTTCATTTACCAGGAAATGATCATTCTAGTACCAGATATATGAAGCAGAATAAGGGAGGGCATCCTGTGATACCTGTAGAAAAGAGTGACAACTCTGCTTCAGGAAAACATCTCTGTGTAAGCAAGTATACGTTTGAGTCCTTATGGACATCAGCAGCACATGGAAACATCTCCCATGAACCAGGGCTTGACTTAAGTCTGCACAGCTCTGACTCTGACCTCCGAGTATACTTTTCTGGCCATGCATGTTCCCAGGGACAAAAGAGGGTGTCCTGGTGGTAGGACAACATCAAACCTGAGATGATGACCTCCCCAAGAGTCAGAGCAGCAAGTTCCAGGCTGCTGGAAAAGATTTAGTGGTTACCTCAGTTGCTGCTTCACAGCAGACCAAGAGGTTACCACAAAGCAGTGAGACTGGGACTGCGTCTCTAGTGTGTTGAATGAAAAACACTCCAGCAATTCAGTGACAAGAGTAAACTGAGTTCAAGGTTATCAGAAAGAAGGTTCCAACACTTTGCAAAAGGGATAGGAGCCCACCCAGAGAAAAGGTCTTGCAAGGACTGCTGGCAGGCTCTGTAAGTTTGGTTCTGCACATAAGAGATGTATAGGGTGTATGTACAGGCATGTGCAAAACCTTTTTCTGTACTACCACTGCCAAGAGTTATGCTTCCCAAATGGCTACCATGCAACATTGACTGAAAATTCAATCCTCTTTCTTAGCCTAAGAGAAAGCAACACTGCAACAGCTCAGGTGGAAGTAAATGATGCTTCTTAACTGCAATTCTGAGAGCAACGGTGCTCACTCACATCTTCCCACTACATCACCATGGGAGGCAGGAAACCCAAGGGAGAGGCTCATTGCCTGAAAAAGAATTACAGGACTACATCTTGCCCAAAGCAAGGTGATGGGGATGTCCCCCTTCGTACCATTCTGAGCTGCAGTTCACTTGTGTCTCAGTTCTGCAAGACACAATTGCTCTGGCCGTGGTCCAGTGAACTGCAAAGGCATAGTTTCACTGAAGTTGCTCAAGTGCTTCAAACTAACTGCGTGTGAAAGAGTTTTATGACTCCAGGTAAGAATCACACCCTCAGGCTTTGCTCTGTATTATGCAGATCATGCTAGTGTTGCCCTGACTAGAGCACAATAGGAAAACCCACTGGGTTTCCTTACGTCTTTTTACTCAGACCAGCAACTTGTCAAAAGGTTGTTCAAAGATCCCAAGGGAAACCTCTGGGAGGTATATGAGATGCCCAAGATATTTCAGCCCTGCTGCTCTTCTTTTCCCTGCTGATGACCACTCTTGTGGAAATCTGTACAGTTGCACAAAAAACCCCTCACTACTGCTGTACAGCTGTATCTGCAGGAGACATCACAGGCACCTGTCCTTCTTGGACAATTTTGGACATGATGTCCCCTTGCTGAATGTTCACAGAGCAAGGTCAACATTTTCAGAAGTAAAGCTGTGTATTAAATCCCCAGAGCACGATTTTCAGAAGTCAGCATGGATGCTCCCGGTGCAGGCATTGGCTGATACAAACAGGGAGAAAGTTAGCCTAGTATTAAGTTGGCAGAAAATCCCACCCACTAACCCATGCTTAAGACTCTGAAATATATGCCTTTGCTTTCAACATGCAGAACAACAGGCAGCCCCTGGTGGACAAAACATGGAGATCAAGGCAGCTCAAGGGATACCCTAAATCTGTGAAAGCTCTGATGACTGCTTAACCTCATTTGTGAACAACTAGAACAACAAGCATCCTAATAATGTTTGCAGCTGCTGAAGTGCTTTGACCAAAATAAGCCTCAGAAAAGAACAGCGGGCTTTGGAGTGCTGTGCCACAGAAGCCATACTATACCTATGAAATATATACACACATCTATAGGCATCACTTAAACATGTTCACCAAGGAATGTAAGCCTCAGGGTGTACCTCACGCAGAGACTAGCGATTTCAAAGTTTTCAAACTCCCAAAAAACTCTGTTCTTTCAGCCAAATTATAAACCTAGCCTCGAGTAAGAGGACATAGTTGTCACGAATATGTACAAATTTTAAAAAAACCAACTACAACCCACCCCTGTTCTCATCCTACAGTCTTTCGGAATTTGATAGCACTGAGCATGAGGTTTTCAGAAGAGTGTGAGTTAAGACTTATGTTAGCAGTAGAGTTTGCCCTATGCGGTGACACAGACTCAACATCACTGATCTCCCTTCTCCCAGCAAGGAGGGAGTCAGAGGATTTCGTGTCAAACAATCCTCCATGGCAGCTTGGCTGGCTGCTCTGTGGTTACACCACGCTATCCACTAGGCAAGACCTGAAACCTTGCCTGCTTAAACAAAAAGTATCTTGCTGTGCTGTTCTCCTTTAGGTGAGTTACAGACAGGACCACTGCTACAGAGTGGCTACTAATTACAATAGTTTAAGTCAGAGAAAAGTCCTTCCCTCATGGTTTGTAGCACTTTCAATCCTTGCATTGCTAAGTGATGTATGTTTATTGGTCCAAATAAACCTCTGGCCTGTACTGCAGCTTGTTCCTGGCCCAGACTTAATAGCAGATGCCATGGGAGGTCCCTCATTCTTTAAACATTTATAATTTTTATGGAATAATTAAGTGTTCAAAGGGGGGGGGGGGAACAGAGAATGCTTTGGGCTGGCCGAAATTTGCTCCTTCTGATCACAGGAGCAAAGTCAGGTCAATGATGTGGCCTCTGGGAAAGCTGTTGCTTGCATTTGGTAAGGGAAGGGCTCTAATAATTAACTAAAATATAACCTCAGTGCAGCTCACAAAAGGTATGAGCAAGGGACATTGTCTCAGGCAGGGCTGAACCTACCTCCTAACACTGTTCAACTGGATGTTGCCATCAGCAGAGCAGACACTCCCAGATGGCACTGGGACACTTCTTCCAAGGACCTGTCCTTCTTGCTCTCATGTAAACCAGTCTCCTCACAAAGGGACTGTGGCACCCCTCGATAAGGGTGCTGCTGTCACAAGGGAGAAAAAAGCAGCAAGTGGTAGGGACAGTTCCTCAAGCAGCACAATCTAGAGGGAAAAGGGAGCCAAGTGTTTCTAATCACCCCCAGCACTGAGGGCAATGCTCAAGCACACAGTCTCCAGCAGGTGACCAGCCGTGGAGGGTGGCACTGGCTCATTTCCCTCCTACAGAATCACTGTCCTGTGCACTGCTGCTCTGCTCAGGTGGTACCATTTCTCTGATGGCTTCCCGGAGCTCAGGCCCCCACCGTGAAGCTCCAGATGAAGCAGCTCCCCATACTACCCTGCTGGGAGAGAGGAGAGGCCAGGCATACTGATTCTGTATGCGCTAAAAATATCCTCTAAAAAGCACAAGCTACTGACTAGCTCTTTTTGAAAAAGCTTCTACAGTTCATCCCTCTAGGCAGCCTAGATATCGGATGCTGGGAACACATGCTGGGGAGCAATGGTTGTGCTCTTGTGAGAAATATGCACTTATTAACTGCCCTCTCAGAGCAGATGTGATGTCCCAGAGCCTGGGGAGAGCAATACTGGGGAAACTTTAAACAAGCATCAAGCCAAAAGACTACTTGACATAAGCTGTGTATACTGCCTTTGCCTCTGCAAAAGCAGACAGTGTTTCCAACAACCTGGATACTAGAAGGCTCGGAATGTTGCAAGTGTTTGGTCTGAGTGTGGGAGGGGGTACTTCACATCCCTGCAGCATAACACTAGAGGATCACAGCAGTCTAAAACTCGGTCTCACACCTCCCAGCTATAACTGTGGCTGGAAACACAGGCTACCGACAAGCAGAGTGAAAAGCTGTTCACGGGGTTATCCACTCAACACAGCACTGCTTCAGAGCAGGTTTTCTCAATGCAAGATGGGACAGCCAAATTTTCTGGATTTCTGCAAGCATGGAAGGAAACAGACCTGTTATACAGAAGCAGCTGAGGTGCTAAGATGACAGACAGGAGCAGCATGACAGAAAAGTAGGAGGAGCTGTCAGACTAACTGCAATAAGACCAAAATTCATTTAGGAATGGCGAATGCAGACACAGTAAGCAGTATGCCATCTGCAGAGAAAAGCCTTCACCGCTTTAGAGGAGAACGTGGCCACACAATGCCCTCAAGAAGCCAGGTGATAACTGTGTCACCTTTAGCCTTCTCCACTGCCAGAACCACCTCCTCACTGAATGGCCTGCTCTAATCAACTTCATTTCCCCACTGGAGAAAGGCAAAAATTTTGGCTGTTTCAAGTCAGAAGAGCAACCAGCCTTGTTACTCCAAGGCACTGGAGCTGTGCAAATTCCAGTCTCTGGAGGGCTGCTAGGCCAAACTCTGGCTCAAACCATGGTTGTGTTGAGCACTGCGCTCCAGGAGAGCCCCTTGACATGGACAGACTGGGAGCACGTGGGATCGGAGGGAAAGCATCAAAGCGACCAGCTGTTTACTAACCCTTAGAAAGCTTCTGGTAACCATTTACAAGTGACTGGCTACAGATGAAAAACCGCCTGAGCCAGCGTCGCAACAGAACGGCATTCCCCCATAGCTCCGCTGCATTAATCACTCTGCTGGCTGACTTATCTCTCTACATCAAATAAAGACACAACATAAATACTGGATTTAGAAGCTGTACTCATGTTCAGTGGTCCATGCGTGATTTATCTGCAAGATGCACACAAACACACAGCCAGCCCAGAGAGCCTCTTTTGCAGCCACTGACGAACGAAAACCACCTCAACCAGACCCCTGCGTCCTGATGACTCATGGAGGAGAGCGTGGTTTTGGCTTCAGGAGAGTACCTCATCTTCTTTGGTTGCTGAGTGGGGAGAGGGGAAGGCAATTTTCCGCTTCTCCCTCACCTCTCTGCTGTCGGGTGCAGATCAGTGAGGCCCTCTCCTGTCTCTCCTTCCTTAGCTGGGGATATAAGTTGGTTCAGCCCCTTGAGGGTGAGCAACAGCAGTGCTTCAGAGTAGGGTGGGTCCCTCCACAACCACTGTCTGCACCACAAGAGGGGGGAAGTGAGGAGCTGTTGGCCCCATCCTGCTCCCCTCTTTGCATCCCTCCTCTCAGCCTGCAGGCAGAGGCTTTGCCCGAGTGACGGCTGCACACTGCAGCAGGGAGGCTGACAAGGAAGGATGACGCCTCCCTGCATCACTGCAAAGGCTTGCTTGCATGCACACATGCTCGTGGCGGCTGCCAGTAACTCCTGCTTACACTGAGCACCCCCAGGAAGCTGCAGGGCTGCTCACTGAAACGCAGTTCTGGTGCATGCTGAGTCCCAGAGGAGGGTTGGAAACCAGCAGAGTATCCTTACCTACCGTAACCAAAGCTCCTGAGGTGCTGAGGTCAAGCACTGATTTCTCCTACAGGCAAACACTTCAGCAAAGAAGGGCAGGGTGCAGGGTACCACTCTGCCAGACTCTCAATGCTGCCACCCAAGGAGATGCACTGCTGAAACCTCCTGAGAATCTCCACTTTATAATATCACCAGATATTACAGCACTGCTTGGTAGATGATCCTGTTCCCAAGGGAGGAGAGGAGCCTTTCACAACAGGATCGCATTTTTCTCTTGGCCTCCAAAAGGCGCATTTTTACATGGGTGCCTGGGATGCTTAAAAAGTGTAAACTAACAGAGCAAAATGGCATTAATTAAAACTTGAGCAGAACCTAAAAATTCTGGGTAAACTAATGGGCATGCCTCAGCAGCCTCACCAAGAGTGCTCCAAGCTCAACAAAGGTTAAATGACTAAAAAATGCAGTGAAAAACTGCATTTGATAAGCCCAGATGAGACTTAAAAATATACCCTAATCCATTAACAAGTATACATGGAAATAGAGAATAAATAATAAAAAAAATTATCATTTTTGCAGTTCACTTTTTGACTTTTTCTATTGCTTCAAATCGTCTTCTCTGCAATGACTTTGAAGAGGAATTATCCAGTTTCCGTGTCAAAGCTGGAAAATGCATTAAACAGGAGTAATTTCTTTTTGAGCTCAGCAATTTAACTGGAGTCTACAGCAACCAGAATATGCTAAAAGCCAGAGGAAAAAGAAGTCAAAAGTCACTTCTTTGCCATTTAAACCACTGCACTCCATAATAACAAGCGGTCTGCTAAGCATGTTCTAGCCTGCCTTCAAAAAGACCCTCTAGTGAACCTCACCCTCACAGCCTAGCAGGGCCCATTTACAAATCTGCACTGTTTTTGGTTTTGTTTCTCCTGCATGTGCCCTAATGTTGTTATGCAAGAGTGTCCTGGCTCTGGCCAGGACAGAGCTAATTTCTGCAGAGCCTGCAGTAGGACCAGATCCCACAACAGAGGGGTCAAGTTTTCTTCTCCAATATGCATTCGGCATTCCCCAAATGAATTTCTTCTTCTGTCTGTTCCACTCATTTGTTTTAAACCTCCAGAGCATGATGAGCAGCTGCAGGCATCTAGCTTTTCTTTCCCTTCCATGAACTGCTGATCTACCACTCTTAATTAATGCAAACAATCCCTCCCGATAAGCCCTATCGTGTATCTGCCTACACTGAGTCTCCCTACCCAACAAGCTGCACCACATCACTTTGGCTCCAGCAGCAGTAGGCCTCTCTCTTCCTCGGGAGGACTGGATGTTAACTCTACCTTAGTAAGAATGTATAACTTCTGCAGTTTTTAGCAACGCTGGCGAGGTTAGGGCCAACCTCACGACTTTCATCATGGAGTGGCCGCTCCCAGTGGCAGATGCCAGATGCACGTGTATCCCAACAGCACTTATGAAAACAGTACCATCTGGTTTTGCTGCCAGGCCACAGCTGCAAGGATCAAGTTGCTCCCAAACCTCCCAGCACCTGAAAGCGCAAAATCTTCGTTACAGCCAAGAGTCAGCACAACACTGGGAAAGCTGTTGCATGGTGGTACTCAGTGGGGAAGGCAAGTCATGCGGTGTTGTATCAGGGGCTAATCACGCTGATACTTTTGGTCTGTGTTTGGCCCAGCCACCTGTAAAAGTTTTGTTCTTTCTCTGCCGAGTTATGAGAAAACAAGCACCAATAAAACGGAAACTTCGTCCTTGGAGAGAGTTCTTGTATAAACTATATTTAATTGCTGTTTTATGATTGGCTGATCGTCCTCCAAGGTCACTTGAAGGAGAGACTGAAGACTATGGGTACGAAGTAAACCCCCAGACTCATTTGGAAAAGACCCCCTCGGGTGCAGCACGCAGGCCATGTGTGTGCAGAAGAGATAGTACTTGCATAACGGAGGGTGGGACTGAGGACCTCTGGCTGGGCAGTGCTGGCCACACCTGCCTAGGCTGAGGTCACTCAGTTAATTGTATAAAAGCAGATAGCTCTTTCTTGGAAGGTAGGAAGCTTCACATCAAGGACAACGTTGCCTTTTGGCAGGGACGCCTGCCAATTTGTGAACTTGCTGACTCTCCAGGGATGCAGCTTCTGCTATGGGTGATTGTGGGCACTCTAGCTCGGTAAGATAACTTTATGGGCAACAGCTAGGTGACTGGGGAAGTAGTACTGAGGGCTTGTTTCTCTCTCCCTACCTCTCTTTTGGGTTTGTTCGTTTTGTTGGCCACCTCTTGGTAAAAATATCGGTTTTGTTGAGCTATCAATGGTGTCATGGTTTCGGATTTTAGTATGCTACGAACCCTCCCTAATACAGATGTCTGCTAAAGGCCTTTTCTCTTTGATCGCTCCCAGTTCTGCCCACTGAACTGGCAGTTCAATAAGCTAGATTAATTGACCTGGACCCTTGGGAAGTCTGGCAGAACACAAATCTGCTCAGGTGGCAATTTTTTTTGATGCGTGGCCCTTTGACTACTCGGGCTGGAAACACCAGCGCATTTCTAAACAGTCCTTGCATTGATCTTGACATTTCTGTATGCATTTAGAATTGCATCCATCAGGAAGGCAGTCCAGTGCCAGGCACAACAAAAAGAACACCAAGAAACAATTTTCAAATGGTCCTCAACATTATGTACCAAGGTAGTCTGCAGGAAAGGCCAGTTTGGTTGTACTACTCCGCTTAGGGAAAGGGTGAGTCAAAACAGGAGAGACCTGTCCAAGCTCACCCTGTCGGCCAGTATCAAACCTGAGATTAAAACCCAGGATGTTAAGTAACAGTAGAGCCACTGCTCTCTGCAGAGCCATGATGCTGCCCAGGGAAGAGGGGCTGGGAAGAAGGAAAATAATTTCTACATCATCTTTCTACTCTCTATGCCTGAAAACTGCTGGCCACTCCAAGGGTCTGTGGGCTTTCAGGTATGGAAAGCTCTACCCATGGTGGTGTCTCCCTGTCTTGTGCTCTCCTCTGAAAGCCTGGAGCAGGGTATGCGGGAGCTGTGAGCTGGGCTTGTTCTCTGTGGGTGGAGGGTACAATCTGACAAAGCTGAGACTGCCTTGTGCTGGCCTCTAGGCACAGAGTAGTCAGGACAGTATCAAACCCTAGTCTGCAGCAAGGACATGTCTGCCCCCTCCTCTGGTCTGCACCAGCCTCTTCCACCTATATGTGAGCTAAAGCAGGAAAATGGAGAACTGAGGAGAATCCCTTCCTGAAGAAAAAAGACAAAGTGCTTTGTCACTATCAGAGGAACTGAAAGAAGCTCTCTGTACACACCAACAAGGAAACTCCTGGAAGGGGAAGCAACAGGACACAATATATCATAAGGCTCTATATAGCAGCTAAGTGAGAGCGTATAGTTAAAAACTACACAGAGGCCCTTTGTTTTTAATATATAATGCTAATGGCTGACATCTACAGCAGCCTCCTCTGCAAATAAATGTAAAACCCAGAGAGTCATTCCAGCTGGGTAAACCCTAATCTCCGTGACAGCAGAGACAGTACGGGTTTGGATACTTTCCAGACTTTCCAGCTTTCCAGCCTGCAAACTCAGGAGAAGACTTCGCTTGGAAGGAAGCAAACAAATTATTCCAATGCCATCATCCCAGCATTGCCAGAGGTTTCCAGGTTTCATTCCTTCACACTTGTGGGTCCACCGTCAATGCAGTAACAATAAGCAACAGTGACTATATACTGTAGCACCTGCTGCTAAGTACCAGTACCATGACCCACACTGACAGGAAACCAATGTTCCCAGCACCCCAGGCTCTAGCCAGGCTTCTGCAGCTGCACAGCTTCTCCCGCAGCTACAGCTTACATTCACAGCACTGCAGCACTTGTCCAGTTATTTTTCCCACCCACCACGTAAATAAAGTGACAAGTGACTTGAGAGATGAAAGCCACATGCCGATGGGAGGAGATAAATGGGGAAGAGACAGAATATACGTCACAGCGCTCTACCCCTCCCCCAGCTCCTTTAGAAACAGAACAACATAAAAAAGTCCCGATGCTTCAATTGCTAAATGATAAATTAACAAAGCAAAGCAAAGCAGGAGCAAAGACATCTCCCACAATCTGCACAGAAACAGCAAAATATACAATAGAAAATGTCACTAACACCCCATTCAGGCAGATGCACTTATTTTTTGTGAAGGACAGGTTATTAAATGAAAAAAATTTTGACCACCGGTACTTTGCTGCATGGCTGTTCCCCTCGCTGTCATTTCCACCCTAAGTGACCTTCTGCTTAATGCTGGGTGTTTCTGGCCTGTAGTCCTTCCTCTCCGAGACGTTGCGTTTCACCTTGGCACTAACTGGAGACTCCTGATTCAAAGAAGGACTCGAGTGGGATTTCTTCAGTCCTGGCGCATCGTTCTCTCCTCCACTCAGCAGCTCCTTCACTCCTTCTTTCAGGAGGCTGACATAAATCTCATAGCGATTTTTCTGGGAAATTAAAAGAAAGGTCCAAATCAGTCTGGGAGAAATTCTGCAAGAGCACTCGAGAGACAGTCTGGGTAACTTAATGGTTTCTGCCGGCCTTGGAAGCCAGCAGCCTAATACGGATGCGAACTATGGTGCCTGATGTGGACATGAACGACAGTGGCTAATGTAAATTAAACTGTACAAAAAGGATTTCGGGCAGACCGAGCCCCAGGGTGCCGTGCAATTAGAGGCACTCAGCTCTGCAGCACACGAATTCCAACACTCTGCTGAGCGGTGGCTCGCGGCTAGCTGGAGCACACGGGGATTTCCATGTAACACTACCAAGTGAAAGCTTGCTGACCTCAGTCACACGGAGGCATATCCTGTGCTCAGGCACACTGAGATGCCATGGGTCCCATCCAGGCATGGAAATAAAGTGCAGTGAACTAAGGGACAGCGGAAGTCCTGCTGTGGTTGTCTACAGCTCTACCCTGCAACTCTTCACTCCCCCCAGCAGGTCCCGCGTTTCCTGCTTTTTGTGTGACTGCTTTTCCTGCAGAAAATTTCCTGGAGAAATCAAAGTAGGGTCCCACTAAGTTCAGACAGTACCAGCTTGGCCACCACTAGCCCTTGAGAGGATCTTCTGCAAGGCCAGACCTTGACAAAAAGGAGCAGATGAGAGGGCTATGACAGCAGCAGTTCTCCTGCCAGGGTCACTCACAGGGAATGATGAAGGCTGCTCTCTGCCCAGACCCTTGTATTTTTCAAATGGAAAAAGTTCCCTTTACTGTGTGCCATCCCCACTTGTTCTATTCCACATCTGGACCAGACCTTTCCCTCTCCAACAAAAGATTTTCCTCTGCTTGCCAGGATTACATCTTTCTGCAAGAAACAACTCAGAAAGGAACAAAATGAGGGTACTGTAATAGAAGATCCCTGCAGGGCCTCAAAAACAGGTGCTGGGGCAGGAGGTCCTCAGAACAGAGCAATCCACCTCACAGGATTTGTTTAGTAACCTGCCCCTGACATATCCCCTGAAGACGTGGTGCAGGCATTGCAATTAAGGCAATCTTGGTGTGCTGGGGGTCAGGGAAGGAGGATGTAAACATCCCCTGTGATTGTTAATTTGTATTTTAAAGTGGCAAAACAGCAGCCAAACTATTTTGCTCCTGGCAGAGGAAAAGGTATTTAAGAAAAAATTTTCCAATTTCTAGTAAAAAATAAAGTTCTGGTAAAAACATTTATTTGAGGGTAGGAAGTCAAAAAGCTCAGTAACTGCTTTGAACTGTGGAATATAAAGGGGGAGGGGGGAGAAAGAAGAGAAGGTGACTGGGTTTTGAGAGTCTTTTGAATAAACAAATACTCACAGAGGAGGATCATAACAAAATCGACCTAAAAATTCAATAAAAAAGCATTCCTATCAATTCCGTATCTGGAGCTCCAGCTCCATAATGTGAGAGACAAACACATGAAGCAGGTAAGATGTGTCATTTAATAAAAATGGAAATGGAGAAACAGCAAGCAGAACCCTGATGATGATGCACAGGGCTGATGGATGATTCATCACACAGCAAACCAGACACCTCTGAAAAAGGCAAACCGGTGCTCTGAGCTTGGAAATAGCGTAATAGTCATCAAATGAGAGAGGGACTTTACTGCCATATGGACATCTGCTTTTTATAAGTCCAGTAAACACTAGTAGGGTCACAAGACTCGCCAATCAGAACGGAAATCCAGGATCTATATGTGCGCAAATGGCCATTTTTCCCTGGACTTTGTGGGCCCCTGATTTCTACTGCACTTAATCGATGCATTTCTATTTTTATTTCAACTGCAAAAAACTTGGTCTTTTAGTGACCTGACATTTGCAGTTAGGTAAAAGCTGGTGGGAATTTTGCCTTAAAAGAAATTAATCTGGAAAATTCTGTCAAGTAAATAAAACCACAGAAGTTGAAATAATTCAAAAGTTTCTGCAACATTATTTCTGAAGACTGAAAGAACATAATAAAGTGGAGACGAGGTAGCCTCCCATCAGTATTCTGGCTTCACCTCTCTCCTGACAGCACTCAAAAGATCTTTCTCAAACTATAGATTTTTTGCAACAAGCAACAAGTTTTCTGCAATCTGGTGCAGTACTGCCTCAGAGAGAAGCAAAGAGAACTGCTCCTTCCTTGGTGTCTATAAGCAAAGAGACCATCAAAAAGATATGCTACCTACTGCATCCCTGAGTAAGGACCAGTCACCTCTCGGTTCACCTCCTCTCAGAAGGAAACATCATCTCACTTGTTTCTCACCAGGAACAAGAATGAAGGGATTGCTAGGGTGTGAACAAAAAGGAACTGTAATGACCTACAGAAAAGGAAAATGGCTTCTTCCTCCCTAATGGGACTATGCCGCTTCCTTAGTGACTCACAGGCCATTTTGGGGTGCTTCTGGAGACGTATCAACATCTATGTACATAGATACAAAGTCTGGCCTGCAATCTCAACCTGGAAGAGGCAGTTACAAAATAATGCCTCACCAGCCTCTTTCCCTTTTGGTTTAACCATACAGCAAGCTCTGTCACCACCTCCTGCCTGACCCCAGCAGGACATTGTTCTAAAGGGAAGATCAGGAAACCCAAAAACCAGCAGAAAGTTTTCATTCATGGTTTTCATATGGCTCACCATTTCGTTTTAGTTTGGTTTGGTTTTTCACTCAAAGAATCACAGAATATTCTGAGATGGAAAGGACCCACGAGGATCATAGAAGTCCAACTCCTGGCCCTGCACAGGACAGCCCTAAGAATCACACCATGTACTTGAGAGCACTGTCCAAACACTTGTTGAACTCTGTCAGGCTTGGTGCTGTAACCACTTCAGGTCTGGGGAGCCTGTTCCAGCGCCCAACCACCCCCTGGGTGAAAAACCTTCCTCTAGTATCTAACCTAAACCTCCCCTGACACAGCTTCAGGCCACTCCCTCAGGTCCTGTGACTGGTCACCAGAGAGACTGTTGTCAGTCCCTCTGCTTCCTCTTGCAAGGAAGTTGTAACTGCAAGGAGGTCTTTCCTCAGTCTCCTCTTCTCCAGGCTGAACAGAACAAGTGACCTCAGTCAGTCCTCGTATGGCTTCCCCTTTAGATCCTTCACTATCTTCATAGCTCTCCTTTGGATGCTCTCTACTATCTCTATATCTTTCTTACATTTTAGTGCCCCAAACTGCACACAATATTGGAGGTGAGGCTGCCCCAGGTCAGAGCAGAGTGGGACAATCCCCTCCCTGGCCCAGCTGGTGATGCTTTGCCTGATGCCCCCAGGACAGGGTTGGCCCTCCTGGCTGCCAGGGCACTGCTGACTCAGATTCAACTTGCCATCGACCAGGACCCCAGGGCCCTTTCCAGCATCTCATTCCCCAGTCTGTATGTACATCCAGGGTTGGGTTGCCCTGTCTCAGGTCCAAGATCCAGCACTTCCCTTGTTGAACTTCACATGGTTGGTGATTGCCCAGTCCTCTAACTTGTTGAAGTTTCCCTGCAGGGCATCTCTGTCTTCAAGGGAGTCAATGGCTCCTCCCAGTCTAGTATCATCAACAAACTTACTTAGTATTCCTTTGAGTTTTGCATCCAAGTGGTCTATTAAGATGTTGAAGAGCATCTAAGATGGAGCCTTGTGGAACCCCACAGGTCTCCAGTCTGATGTCACCCCATCCACTATTACCCTCTGTGCCTGACCCGTGAGCCAATTGCTCACCCATCACGTGGTGTGTTTATCCAGCTGTGGGCTGGACATTTGGTCCAGAAGGATCCTGTGAGAGACAGTATCAAAAGCTTTACTGGAACCCCAAAAGATTACATCAACTGGCTTCCCTTGATCAGCTGGGTGGGTTACCTTGTCATAAGAAGAAAACGGGTTTGATAAGCAGGACTTTCCTCTCACAAAGCTGTGCTGGCTGCAACTGATGACTGGATTGTCTTTCTGGTGTTTTTCAGTAATTCCCACAATAATCTTCTCCATAACTTTACCAGGCACTGAAGTGAGACTGATAGGTCTGTAGTTTCCAGGATCTTCCTTCTTGCCATTCTTGAACACTGTGACAATGTTAGCCAGCTTCCAGTATATTGGGACCTCTCCATATTCTTCCCAAGACTGCTCAAAAATTATTGAGAGAGTCCTCATGATGACATCAGCCAGCTCTTTGAGGATTCTGGGATGAATACCACCAAGTCCCATATATTTGTAGGGATCCAGCTGGAGCAGCAGATCCCACACAACTTCAGGGTTAACTGGGAGTTGATCATTCTCACATTCATGGTCCTTCAGCTCAGGGCACTGAGACCCCCTTGGTCCCTCATCCGTGTTGAAGACAGAGGCAAAGAATGTGTTAAACATCTCTGCCTTGTCTCTGTCCCTGCTTGTGAGGTGACCATCCTCATCCTGTAATGGTGTGATGCTATTTCAGCACTGCCCTTTGCCATTAATGTACTAAAATCACCTGTTTTTCTTGTCCCCCACATTTCTGGCCAGCTTCAACTCCAACTGAGCTTTGGCCACAGGAATTTTCTCCTGCAGTGGTGAGCAGCATCTCTGTATTCCTCCCACGTCACCTGACTGTGCTTCCAATAGGCAAACACCTACTTTTTTTTGCCTTAACTCTAAAAGTAGATCCCTGCTAAGCCAAGCTGGCCTTCTACCTTGTCTGCTTGACTTCTGACATTTTGGAATGGTCTCTCGATAGTTCGACATGGCCTGTGAAATCTGTGCCAACTGTGAAGATAAGAAAGTATTGCAGAGAAGCACCTTGAATTACCATTTCTCACACATAACTGAAGTTGTTTCCACCGCTTTCCTGCTCACATGGGCACTCCTGCAGTGCTGACCATTTATGTGAACTGCACAGATCAATTGCTGTTTGAGACTCTTAATAGAGAAGATGACATCTTTTGTTTCCTCTGCTGTACTGGTTCTGATTTGCACTGAGGTACCTGAGGAATATTTCTCTGAAGATCACCACGATGAAATTGACAGAAAACAGAAAAAAATCCACAACAGTCTACTCCTCCATCAATCTTTCAGAAAACATCTAAAATTCCAGCCTACATTTCATCCTGGTTCTAGAAGGAATAGAAAATAAACTTTGTGTCAAGGACCCAAAGCCAAGAAGTTCCTTGCTCTTCCAAGTTGCACAAGACCCCTTCCAGAGACAAAGTGTGTGGCTTGCTCTGAGTGCCGTGTTCAAAACCGACACTGTGCCACTGATCTCGAATGTTCTGCCAGACTACTTTACTGCCAATTTCCTAATCCACTTTATCAGCTTGTCTACAAGGATGTTAGTGGAGATGGTGTCAAAGTCCTGGTTAAAGTGAAGAACAAACAATATCCACTGCTGTCCCCTCATCCATCATACCAGACATCTCATTGCAAAAGGCCATCATGTTGGTCAGGTATGATTCTCCATTCATAAGGCCATGCTGACTATTTTGCTATTGTGAAGTGAAACTCAACATAGAGATCACAACCTTCTGCAAAAGCAAAAGTACACAACCAGTCAAGTGCAGGAGTGAGAAGAGTTCCTCTAATACAAACTGGTAACACAGGGCAGGAGGCTTACTTCAGTTCTGGAGGTTTGTGCTGTGTGGCCTCCAGCATCAGCTCTGGTGGTCTCTCTGACTTTTATCTTATCTGCTCTTCCTCTTCTTCAGACTATGGATTTTCCTTGCCGGGCACTGCCTATTTAGAGTAGGATCCTTTCAGACCCAAGGCAACACTGACTCGCAGTTCTGGGGGAAAAAGCTCAAAGGTGTAGTCATAACAAACACCAGACACCTGGTGGGTTGCCAACTTGCTCCCACATAGCTCTACAATGTGGCAGACACCATGATGGATAAAAGCTGTGCCAGATACTCAGAACAATCACCTAATGCAGTTGCCTAAGTTGCATCACTCAGTCCCGTGATCTTTAATTCTACCCTTTTCCTTCTCATCCTGACATCCAGCTCACTGGTACGCAATACAAATGGCTCTGATGAGGCACGCCTATGACAGTAATTTCAGAATGTCAGTTCCTTCAGAACATACCAATGGAAGACAATTATCCTAATCCGCATTACTGCAGAATGCAGCCATTCTGTGAAGACTGAACGTCCAACACAGTAGGAAACACACAGCCTTACAACACAAGACATATCCTGCCTGAAGACTCTATCATCTCTTCAAACAGATACATGAGGAAAGGACAGAGGGTCTCACTTTTATCCTCCGTGCTACAGGTAAGGAGCTAAATTCATGGGTAAGGCCACAGGAAGTTCTTGTCAGAAAAAGACGCCGCATTCCAGCTTCTGGGATTGCTGTGACTTTTCTGCCTACTCAAACACACTTCTTGGGGACGTAAAGCAGAAAAATGCAGAACTTTAGGACTCCACCCCAAGTATAAGACATCCCCCATACACACCCAAAAAGTAAAAGTAATAATGTTTCCCATACATACCTCAAACTCCAGGTAGTGGTCCTTCAGTTTGTAATCATCTACTTCCTTGCCTTTGAGCTTCTTGTCAGGAGGATAGGAGCGATGTTCAGCAAGCTCAGTGGAGATCTGCTTCAGCTTAGCTTCATGGGACTTCAGCTGTTCATCCTTCAGAAACACATTAGGCATTTAAGTGACAGACTCTAAAATATCCAGTAAGCAAAGGAAAGTAAGAGAGATCCCAGTACAATAATACCAAGTAGTTTATTTTTCTATAGATTTATAAGGTCTGTTATCCCAAAGCTCTGCCCCCAAACAGCTGTCTCAAAGGCACCCGAGAAAAGTGGCCAAGTTTGTAGAAAAATTCAACAGCCAGAAGATGCCACTGGGAAGGAGAGCAAACCTGTCATCCCTCGACTTGCTGTGAGCAACAAAAGCAGCTTGCTGCAGAGCATTACTGACAACATGACACTTCTGCTCTAATACACTCTTTTGTAAATTAATTAAGAGTGTTGTGTATGCAGTCAAACCAAGGGCAGAAGGAGAGAGGTGAAGACCCTGCCTCAGGTCTTTGTAATGTAAATGGAGTTCCTTCCAGGATAGAAAAGACATAGAGTCAGTGCCCTTCCTTCTATTTCTGCTCTACTAAAAGCTCTCTGGTGTGTGCCTTCTATTTGTTTAGAACAATACAATGCACTCAGAAGAGGAAGGGCTGTCCAGTCCCCAAAAGGTATTTCATTCTGCTAAGCTGCTACCAGCTCTTATCCCATTGTGCCACTGGAGAAAGTGAGGAGTTGCTACTCCCACTTTCTAGGCAATTTCCTTTATCATAATCCTAGGCCCACTCACTTCCTCCAGTCCATCTGTCAGCTAACCTTCCCTCATCTCAGAGGGTTTCCAGCTCCTGCAGGATGGCCTTCTGTCCATTTCTAGGCTGGGATCTGAAATTATGTTTGAAGTAGGTAAGTCCAAAATATAGACAAGATCATGCAGATATTGGTGACTTAGCCAGCCATAACAAGTACCCAGCTCAGTTCCTGTTGTAGGCACCTAACCTCAGAGGAGGGGACAGCTGCCAGTGCTGTCCCTCAGTGGTGTGGCTGTGCAGCCCACAGCTTCAAGCCGAGCTTGGACACGCCTGCACTGCACTGAGTCACACCAGGGACTGAGCCTCTTGGCTCACGGAGCTGGAGCTGCAGGAAAAGCAGAGAGGAGGAAAATTTCTACAGAAAATGATAGCTAAGCCCCAGCTAATCTTGCGTTTCGACTCTTCTGCAAGAGAACTGAAGAAAGAAACATGTGGGATAATTTGCCTCCGCCTAAACGTGGTAGGGCTCAAACCACTCGCTATTGGCTGCCAAAAATTCTTGTTGCTGTTAGTAACTACCCTGGTTCTGCATACTCTCCCATTAGTGCCCAACCACTCTTTACATTGAGCTGAATCCCCGGTCCCAGTGACATCCTGTGGCAGCAAGTTCTACAGCCTGATAACAGGAGGTCTTTGAGCAGCTATTAATACAGTACTTGTAATTTCCAGGGCACCAGCTTTGGAGCTTTTGTGTGTGCTGCACATTGTCAGGAAAAAAACCAAAACCAACCTTCTAGTAGATCTTTTCTAGACTGGTTGTTCCTTTATATATAGATTTGTCACATCCCTCTTTGGTTGGACTAACCGAGATCCTCTGCTTTTAAAGGAAAACCTGGTACAATGATCTTGCCCAACCTGTCATGTCCAAACTCTGTTCCTCATCCATGTTAGGTCCTCACTGCATTCCGACTTATGCCTGACCAGGAAGAGACCCTTTGAAGAAGTACTGTCCATCATGATTCATCCCACAAAACCCTGAACAGCAACCACAGGGATTTGACAATTTGTATTTTTTTTGTCTGCCAAATGAGAAACAGCCTGCTGGCAGCTTTTCCCCTCTGACAGATGAAAGCAGACATGTTTCTGCTTACCTTTGCATTTATCTACTTTTAACACTTAACATTCTTCTGCCCTTAACTAAAACAGCTTATCTTACTCCACCTTTCATGTTTCCCTTTCTTCGAGACAGAGACCACAGGGCTGTGACCTATTTTTTCCTTTCCAGATTAAATGGAAACAATCAGACTAGGAAACAATGTGCTAACTGGAACTGCCACACAGAACAACAATGAGTAAAAAAGCCTTCTCTGGTGACTGGGGGTAAATTATGGAAGCCTCATACAGTATTTTCAAAAGGGTATGCAAAAGGTAAAAGCACAAGGATGATCAGTTAGTATTATCCTTTACAAAACACGCTTTAAACTTCAACCCAGAACACAAGACAGTAAGTAGGCCACCACATTGTAAGAAGAAAGGCTACTGCAATGGAGAGAGAAAAAGCAGGGGTGACATTAAAAAAAAACACCCCCTTAGAGAAATGCAGATTTTGTGACAGTGGTTTCTAAGGAGAGTTGCTAAGCTATGAAGATGGTAAAAAAACCCAAACTCATTTAAGAAGCAATCCAGCATGGGCAGATCACTTTAAAAAGTACAGGATAATACTCATGAAGTATAACCTCTGTCACTCTGTCAACCTGATGAACACAAACGATGTCATGTTCCTGCCACAGCAGGAGGAATTGCAGGCATGTGTCACATCTCCCAAAGTACACAGAGCCATGGGTGCAAGCATCTGACACAGCCAGTGTGAAACAAGCTGAAATTTGTGGAGCTTTGTGCAAGAAGTAGAGCTGTGAAACTCTCTGACACAGGATGCTAAAACCTTGTGTGATCACAAGGGGAGACAAAAAACATTCACATAAGAAACAGTTACAAATACATATTATACAAGAAACCCCTAAGCTGATAAGGGTTGGAGTCTGGAAAATGTTGTGGGAAAAATATAATTGGTGCTTGTCTAATCCATCAGCTTTCACCTTTTATCATTTCAATAAGCCAAAGACCAGGAGTATGTCTACTTCTTCTGAAATGAGTGGCCTTAATACACACTCATATTTAAAAAAACCCACCAGTCACTATTTGAAATGTCTTATACACAGCCATAAGCACAAGATGAAAATTCTCTGTCTGGTACTAGGAACACTGATGACTGTTTCTTTTCTTCAAAAATATAAACCAATTATATTTAAGCCTGTTCTTTCTCTCTCACCAATTCAAATCTTGCATCAGGAAGTGAGCAGAGATCTACCATGTAAGCCTCCTTCTCCTAGGACTGCTAGGGGCAACAGACATAAAACAGTGACAAGGACCACCATCCAGTCTCCAGCCAGCAAGAGAAATCGTCATCACCTGCCCTCTACACAAGAACATCTCACCTGAGATAGCTTTGTTGTGGTGGCTGGCAGGAGCGGGCGACTGAACTTCTTCTGGGAGCCAATTGCCGCTGGGAACGGCGGCGCAGAGAAGACAGCAGCCACACAGTTAATCTTGTTGATCCAGGTCTGCATTTCTTCTTGGCTCCTGGGAAAGAAAAACACATTAAGCACCTGTTGACTCAGCCTCCTCTACCTCCTTCCACCCCTTCCGTGGCATTTTAAAAGCGAGAGTAACCAGAACTGGACAAATCTTAAGGGTCTGCTTAGTCTTCTGGTCTATATTTGCAAGCAGTTTAGTGACAGGTAGCTCAGTCACGGGCTGGCTTGTTGTTAGGCCCATACCTCACCCTAGCACACATCTTTTCCTAATCCAATCCAAATGACACAGGTGACAGAGCCAAACAATGCTATAGGATATACTCAGACATATATCCTAAGGTCTCAGTTGTGCAGGACATCACAGAGCTCCAGGATCCGTACATGGTCTTGGCAGAAAGGGGCTCATGTCAGAAGCAAAAGGCAGGTCATCTGTTCTGTCTGGGTATCAAAGCACGAAGAACTTAATCGAATCATTCTTGTATTAACTTTGTTTCTGACCACAGCGTATCTTCTAGAAGGACATCCAGCTAGGACCTGACGACATCAGGAGACAGACAATCCAAGACTGCCTTTGGTCATTTGCTCCAATGATTAATCACCCTGACTGTTATAAGTTTGTTTCCAAATTGAATTTCCTGCAGCTTCAGCTTCTAGCTGCTGCATCTTGTTATGACTTTCTCAGCTGGATTAAAAAGCCTTTTAAAAACCTGATGTTTCTTTCTCATGCACTACATGTGCACTCTAATCACATCACTACTTAATCTTATTTCTGATCAAATAAACAGATTGAACCTCTTAAGCCTCTGCTTTAACCTGTCCGGGCAGGAATTTACCCCTCCTTCAGCATTGCTTTCTCTCCTCAATGGCTGGCGTGAAGAGAGCACTTACTGGGCTTGGAAAAGCAGGACCCTCCAATCTGCTGTTTTAAGCTTGAGGACATTGGGCTTCTTCTCATAGTCTGTTGCCTTGGATGCCAGCGCGTGGTGCACACTAACCGCGTTCTTCAGATCCTCCTCCGACAAAGCCTTTTCTGGCTTATATTCATCCTGCAGGAGTCAACAGGGGGAAAATGGCATCTTATTTCTGCACGTGCTACTCCTTTTTCCTCAACCTAGGGAAAAACCCCGTTCCACAGTTCACAAATAGCAATAAGGTATATGAACCGAATGCAACCTGACTTGAGCGCTTGTGGTTTCTACTACCTTTAACATGTTTTCCTTTTCCTTTTTCTGTTGGTTTTTTTTTTTTGTTGTTGTTGTTTGTTTGTTTTTTCTGTTTTTGGGGGGTTTTTGGGGGTTTTTTGTTGGTTTTTTTTTTGTTGTTGTTGTTGGTTTTTTTGGGGTTTTTTTTGGTTTTTTTTTTGTTTGGTTGGTTTTTTTGGGGGTTTTTTTTGTTTTGTTTTGTTTTTTTGTTTTGTTTTGTTTTTTTATCTCTTTCCAAGGAAGAGAAGTAGTTTTGCTACCTGCTTGAAAGAAAGAGAGGTAAACAGGAAGTATCTGACTACAACAGTTGTGGACTACCTGTCTTCATTTCAGGAATCCTTCATAACCAGCTCCCACCTCCACTGCTCAGCTACTTGGGTTCTCAGCCTCCACTGCTTGATTTTAATTCTTCTCAAACAATACTTTGTATATATACAACAACTTTGTATTTTCTCCTAGGCAGCCCTTATACACTGAAGAAGCCTCCTTATCAGTCTGCACAAAGCTAATATAGCAAACTCCCTTAAATCTCTCTACTCAGAGTCCACAAATGGCAAGCACAGCTCTGTCCAGGGTTTTTGACACAGTAACAGTACCACTCCTAGCACCAAAAGACAAAAACGGGACTCAAACTTCTCTTGTGTTGCAAGCATCAGCCTGGAAGCAGTCTTTGATCTCCTGAGTGACAGAAGCTATATAAAGGCACAACCTCGGTCTAACCACAAGTTCTGTGTGAAGCTCTCATGACTATAAATGGCTTGGGAAAGCCAGGAGCTTTTTCAGGGAAAAGTCATCCGCCAGCAGTGCTGCGTCACTTTGTTTCTGAAGGACAAGCCAAAGCAGTCTGTAATTGACTCCATTTCTCCCTCTTAGTACATCACAGACATCTGTCTCACCTGAAACACACACCGATGTGACAGCTGCAAAACAGAGGAATAACTCCCTGCAGGTGTAATAACTATTGATCCTCCACTTGAACACAAGTTACAAGATGAGGTTTAGGAGGAAACAGAGTGCAGGACACAGGGCGTGTGTGAGGACAGCAGTAGCTTCAACAGCCAGGGAGGCACCTGCCTTGAAGAGGAGCTGGTTAAGGTGCATGAATTCGTTTACAGGGCTTCTCTGGCAGCACACAGAACAGGACTGCAGCCACAGGTTTCTACACTGCTGCCAAAGGTATCTGTGCTTTTGGACAAGACGGGCTGGGGCTCTCCAGGATGAGTTTCAGTGGATGGGGCATCACCAACTGTGGTGACCACCTCTCAGGAGGCAGGACAAAGCATCCTGCTCCTCTGCCATGTCTCATCCTTCCTGACAGAGCTCCAGCTAGTGCAGGCCCAGAACTTGCCAGTCCTGCTCAGACATTTCACATGAGGAGATGCAGCTATCCAGCAGTCCTGCCCCAGCACCACCTCCACCCAGGGCCAGACAATGGCAAAACACAACACAGATCTGGTAAGCCCAGCAGAAAGACAGAGCACTACTGCACAGGTGACCAAAGGGCAGCCTTCAACCTAAACATCTGCAACATGAGGGGTTTTCAAGGGCTGGCAGTGGGCAAAGCCAAGTGTCCTTCCTCTCCCATAGCTTGAGACTCTGCAAGATTTGGAGGAATGTCTCTATCATGATGGATTTCATCTATGCCCACTTAGGGCATTCCCTAAACCTTCTTCAAGGAAGATCTGAGAATCCAGACTCTAGCCAAAAGACAATCACTGGAGGAGATTGTCCAAAGTTGGGCATATCTCCATCCTGAAGATGGAAGAGGCAAGGCGCCAGGTCAAGCCCCTTTCTTTATGGGTTCAAAAGCTAATTTATTTCGTGGTAGTTTTGGGGGAAATGACTGGCTCCACTGTCCAGGGAGACTGGGAAAACTTCAGAGCCAGGAAGTGAACTCAGACAGGCCTCAGGAACATGATATTCTGTCTTTCCTCAAGTTACTGCCCAGAGACAGTGTCAGCTATCACCTAGCCTGTTGCTGCCCTGCTTCCTCTGTGACTTGCATCCAGTGTCCACAACCTGCTCTGGTGTCTAAACTGTTCCAGAAAAACACCACATTTGGGCAGCCCCAGAAGCAATCCTGGCTGAGAACCCCTTCTTTCCGACAGACAGTGCTCCCGATAATCCTTCCTAATCCCACCAGATCAGTTAGCTGAAATCTACCTTGACAGCTGGGGCTCTGCCAGCTTCTCCAAGGGCGCTGACCAGCATACCAGAAATGTCTCCATGTCATTGGCCAGTCCCAGAGCAAGCTATTAAGAACATGAATGTGCTGTCAAAATTCCTTCTCTTAAGCCTTCAACTCTTTACGACTGGTGGGGAATGCTATGGCGGCAGGAACATCCGTTTTCTCCTGTGCCACCAAGCACGTGCTGGTGTCAGCACGGAGGCTGAGCTGAAATGGAAGGCAGCTCTCTAAAGTTAGACCAAGACAGTGGTAAGAAATATATACAGAAAGGAATTGTGGCCGCTCTGTCAACTGAAGGCTGATGTGAGTGCTGCACACAATGGAATGGCATGCTGAATTCATCTTTCTCAAACTCCTGGAGAATGACTTTCCCACATCCTGCTGACCCACAGTCAGCATGTTTCTAAATCCATTTTTGATAGACCAGAGAATGACATTTGTCTTTTTATCAGTCAGTGTACCGTGGGTGGATTTCTCCACTCAGCTGCATGTGACAGCTGCAAAATTCTCTTTCAGAAAGTCTCGTCACCGAACACGTCACATCATTCTGGCCTTTCTCTGAGAATTTTTATTTTTTTTTTAATTTATAACAGAGGAAATTTGAGAAAAGCTATATAAAAATACCCAGAAGCCTGTAACATTATGAAGTCACACATCTAAGAGAGAAGATGTCGTGAATCTCACAGAAGAGCCCGAACAAAACACGAAGGTTCCTGTCCAGCACTTCTTGCCCAGAAGCAATTTCTAGCAAGGAAGCGAGGTCAGCCTTATGTCCTCTTCTTGTAAACCTCCCTTCTGTATGCACATCACATCCCGTGCCAGTCTAGAGAACAGACATTCTGTCAAGCTCCTACTTTGCAATTTCCTGTTGCTATGAACAGAGGGCAGGAAATTAACCTTGGCCTGAGGATTCCCAGAGACAGGGATAACATCCTAAACATGTCAGACTTTTCATTTTATGTAATACTGTGCAGACATGTTTAGTTGGCTAATTGTGAATGCTTCCACTGGGCCCCTCCGGTGCCCTCTGGGCTCACTAATCCACAAACCATCCCTCTTAAAGCACTCATTTGAAAACAAAACAATATGCAGCGCAGGAATTAGCAACGGAATAATTCCAGTGGGAAAAATAAACAATAAAAAATGTGGGCATGGAGACAAGACTGCCCAGGAAAACTCCCCAGTGAATCTCCAGTGGCCACCATTTACAAAGCACCCTCATACATGGACTTTGACGGCAAAACAAGGAGAACCAGAATGTAAACAGAATGACAGCAGAATTGGGATCACACTGCCCACTGGGGGAATCACAGCTGCTACAAACAATTAATATTTATATTACAGTAGTGTCTTGAGGGAACAGCTGAGTTACAGATAAACAGAGAAAGCAGAGGTGTGTACATGTGTTTATGTGTAGAGAGCACCTGAACAATGAGATTTCTCTCTGTCTTGCTTGAATAGCACTCAGTGCAGTGAAACCACCATCACAGACGTTATCTCCACAGATATACAGAGAGCGAGAGAGAGGAAAAATGTGTGTGTGCATGTGAATGCACCCTAGCCTACAGCACTCTTTAATCAAGAGACAAGACTACTGCCAGAGCTATGCACTTCCACAAAGAAATCAAGCTGTTCTAAAATACTCCCGAACCTTCTAGAATTACTATAATTTATATTAAAAAATGTACATTACGAAAGGAAACAACAGATCAGAAACTTTTACTATAACCACTTGGCCTAGCCCTTATTTTAAAACCCTGGCACCCTTACCTCAGCTCCCTAACAGAGCAAAGTCTATTTGAGTGCTGAAGCAAAGCCCTGGTGGACCTTCTGGAGCTGAAGAGAAACCAGAGGCTTTTTCACAGCTGCAGCATGTGGCTGAGCAGGGTTCAGAGGCACCCTGGGGAGGCTCACACCTGACCACTCCTGGAATGAGTTATTTCCCATCACACCCTTCTTGTCAACCTTTGACAGCACCTAAGTAAAATCCTTGCTTGTCAGTGTGATACAGCAAGATGGTTTCAGCGCAAATGTCTTCCCAGATCAAGTGGGAGAACGTGGCTTTGCAGAGTACTGCCCTGTAATCACAGAATTCAAGTGCTTCGACAAGTGCAAAACACACAAATAACAAACAAATAAGAACAAGAACTCCAACAATGCATTTCGTTCCACAAAGATGCAGTCATATGTGAAATTACTCTCTTGCTCTTCAAAGCATGGAGAGTGAGAGTGGGGAGGGCAGTATTCTGTGGAAAATTTGCATGCTACATCAGCATCTCAATATTTTGTTAAACAGCAAGCATTTTAAACTAATATGCCAGTGAGACTCATAATAATATCTAATTAAGACTCTAAAACAGACAGTATCCTCAGTTCTTACCCTTGAAAGCTTATTAATCCCTCCTCAAACATCAAATAAGAAATTAATTAATGTATTACAAACAAGGAGCCTTCTTACTGCTTAGGGAACCATGCAGTCTTTTCAGGTGAACTCTAAAGGTGACTTATTTGAGAAACTGAAGCAGGGGACTTCATTTCGTCCAGGAAATGGCAAGTACAAAGGTCACTTTAGTAAAACCTGAACCTGCTGCCAGTAAGAGGACTTGGGATTCAGCAGTTTCTAGTTTCTAGTCTCCTGCACTGGCTTTGAGCATATCACATCCATCTTTCAGCCTAAATCTTCCATCATGACTGCAGACTGTCTTCTCTGTTCCAGGATTTCAGCCCTCTCAAAAAGGTACTGCACCCAGAGCGTCCACCTTGCAAACCTCATGCTATTCTCTTTCTTCTCAGAGAATAGCCAGGTTGGTTCCAATGAAACCAACAACTTCAGAAAGCCACAGCAAGGGAGGAGGAAATGTACTTGCAGTATGCAGTTGCACTCCTGACAGCTGCAAAACGTGGTGGAAATGTAAAACAGCTTTCGAAGAAGCATGCTTCTGCAATACAGAGCAGTCTGGACAAGCAGCACCTATTCCATGAATATTTCATCTACACTGGGGGGCAAAAAGCCTTAGCAACCTACTTAGCCGCTACCATTTATTTGATTTTGACAGCTCTCAGTCATATGTTGCATTTTATGTTCCAACAGTATAGTTAAAAATGTACTGTAATAAATTTAAGCTTGTGACAAAAGGCTTGGAGGGTTTCATTTGACTTTTTTTTTTTTAGACTTCTTGCTGTCAGGAAGCACATTTTGTTAGAAACCAGTCTCTTCTTGCTTTGGCAAAAAAAAAATAGTATCCTTTTATCCTTCAGTTTTGCAATGGAACAGAAGCTGCAGATTCCTACCAAGGCCAAGCTGTTGTTCAATTGCTTTGCAGCTGGTCTTGCAGGCACTGCAGTGAAGTATACTATGAAAAGGTGAGAAAGGAGGACAACCTTACAGAAGGGGAAGTCATACATATGAAATGCAAAGTTAAAAGCACCCTAGAGGAATCTGTGCAAGACACAGAGAGATGAGGCTGCCTTTGCTGGTGAAGCTGTCTATTTTTTTCAGCCACGGGAGACAGCAACGGGACAGCAATGGAACAGATAGGGTGTACATGTGGATGGGACAGTGGAACTGCACTTGAAATTGTGAAAAGGGAGAGGGTGTCAACAAAAGGATTCATGCCTGAATGTGTGTGTAAACAGGGTGCAGGGTAGAGAGATCAGCTACGCTGTGAATCGGAGGGAAAGGAGCCTGGAGGTGGGTTGAGAGAGTGGAGAGGATGCCTGCTGCTTTATCCCTCTTTAATTAGTTTTCAAAAGACAGTGATTTCCCCTACCTTCTGCAAGTACAGGACGGTTCCCTTCAACACAGCATAAAAGGTTTTCCAGCCTCGCTTTCCCCGGGGAGCTGCAAAGAAAACAAATGAAAACCCATTTAACTCAGATCCATTTTTACACTTTTTCTAGGCAACACGAGAGCTACATTAGTCCTGTGTTAAACCTCCTTTGTACTATCCTTTTCAAAGGACAATGCAACTTAGCACAGTGCCTGCACATACCTGCTGTGAGAGAGAGTAATACAACAACCCTGACAACAGCCCTGGACCGGATCAGAAAGGGAACAACAGCACTGCAGAAAGAAGGCCACAGAGATCCAGTCTTTGTGTACTTGCAGGTAGGCAGACACTGCCCCTACACAGCTAGGTCTGAGTGCTGCACTGTGGTACTTTTCAGAAAGAAACACTCTTTCTCCATGTCACAGTAGGCTGGCTGGCACTGCTCAGGACCTACGGGACGCTGATCAGAAAGCAGTGTCTCTCAAGAGCATCCTTTGCCTTACTGGTGCTGCACACCCAAGCTGGCATTTAGAAAGGAGAAGGGTGCCAAACAGAATCCTAAGGGAAAACACCCCACCCCTCAAGAAACCTAAAGTCACGTTACAGGTTGAAGAACATAACAGAGACAACATATCCAGCCCATGATTTCCTAGAAACAAACAGTAGGGGAAAAAAAATTTCAGCATGAAAGCTGAAGGATCTGGTTTGAAATTCAGCCACAACAGAGGGAGAGAAGAAGGCACAGCTGTATGGTCACAGTGCCAGAGACCAGAAGCCTGCAGCTAAGCTCTCTCTCCACCAAGCACACACCAGCATCCAGATATATACATACCACTGCCCTTACACTGAAACTAATAACCCATGCACAACTAAAGTGTGATACTCAGAAAGGTATCCCACTCTGATCTGAAGAAAGCAAGTGATGATGAAGAGGTTACAGGTCCCTTGCTCCAGAGGTTAATCATTCTCATTTTGTATAACAGACCTTATTTCTAATTGCCATTTGCTCGGCTCAGCTTCCAGGTATAGGCCCCTCTTGCATTCCTCTCCTCTAAGTGCCTAAGTGCTTTAGCCCTCAATACTCCTTTCCTGAGAAAAACATACAAGCATTCTAGTACATCACTTCCTTAAAAATCCTGCACAAGCTGATCTCTGCCCTCCAACAGCTCTATTAGGAAATGGAATATGAAAAGGTCTAACTAACTTTTAAAAAAAAATAATTTGTTTTATTTGCCACTAGAAAGCCAGGATGCAACTTTTTTGAGAGCTTCACGACAATGAGACAGACCTCTGAGTTGTACAAGAGCTTCTGAAAACATGGCCTTAATTACATTACTCATAAAAGGGTTATGCCCAAAATGAGCAGTTCTGATACCTATAATTAAAGAAATCATTTAATAAAGGCAACTAGATACAATTACTTATTAAGGCTAAATAAGCAGACGTTTAATAAAGAGGAATCTATTCAGAGCATCCAGTCATCACAAAGAATGAGGTCAGTTTGATTTTGACATGTCTGTCTGGATTTAGCTGTCCAGCTGTCAGCTTCCATCTTGAAAATGCTGACCTCCAGCTGTACCCTCTAAAATATACTAGCAAAACATGGGAACATCAAAGAGCTTCACCTAGCTAGGAGAGACTGGCAGCTACAGGAAACCCATCACAAAGCCAGAATTTGTCTTCAGGATTTAGCCCAACAATGTGAACCATGAGCAGGCAATCATCAGCCATTATCAGGGAAAATACAGATGCTCTGAGTAACCATGTTGTTTCCAATACCAACAGAAAACAAATGAAGACACTCAAGGAACAAAACACACACAGGTGAACCAGAGGCCTTCGATAATTAGTGCACCACCAAACAGAAGTACTAAAAGAAGGAAAGAGGATAATTAAAGTAAGAGACAGCAGGATTATTACAAGAAAGGGGCAGAGAGGAACTGCATGGTAAAAAGCTGGCTGCTGCCAAAAGCTGCTGCACTTCACTGGGTGTCTGACCCAAGGCTGGGAAGGCAGGGAAGGGAATGGTTACAGCATCTTCCAAGTAGAGGTAAAGAACTGCCCTCCTTTGAAGACAGACCCAGACGGGAGGGGAGATTTGGAACAAACTGGTGTCATGTAAGGAAACGGAGAATTACCAAATTACTGTGGAACAGCTACTGTAATTCACTTGAAATTGTTTTCCCTTCTGTAAATCACGATATTAATTTTCTTTTAGCGCAAAAAATTCACATTGCTTTGCTGTATCACATTACTTATTACGCTCATGCATTAGAGCTGCTGCAAATGGGACTAAGCATTGTAAATCCTGGCCTAACAGTGAGAGTGTGATAATCCAATTGCTGTGTTGTTTGTTATTGCTTCAATTTCCCCTAATGAAGCAGCAGCACTATTTGCCTTGAGAAGCACATGGGCTCATTGGTAAGCAGCACTGTGTAGACATAATAAGAAAATAACACGTTAAGAGCAAAAAAATACTCACTTTTCTTTCCGTCCATATCAGCATGGATTTTCCGAGCCAGAAATCCAGTTTTATACACAGCAGCATTGGGGTCATGAGGGATGTCCAGGAATGGGTTATTTGAGTTGCCAATTCGACTGACAGCCTTTGTCTGGCTCCCATTATCCTTTTCATCTGTACCATCGGAGTGAGACTTTTTTTTCTCTTCTTCATCCCTTAAAAAGCAGTGAAAATTAAACATAAACTATGGACTGACCAGTAAAGTTTCATTTCAGCAATTCTTGAATGCTCCTTGTCAAAACATACCTCCCTCTTTATAGAAAAGCCTAAATATATGTCATATAAACGTAGTTGTATTACAGCAAAGCTTCAGGTCACCTTCTTCACCAGCACAGGACACAGAAGCCAGATTTTCAATAAAGCCCAAGTTTCCATAACAGTCTCAAAAGATAAGACTTCAAGAGTGTTCTGTGTCCTCCCACATCACCTATTTTTAATTCCACTTATCTGAGTGCTAAAATGGGAAATATTTGCCTGCTGGGCTCTCCTGAAAATTCTCCAATTTCTTCATGAGTTCATATGTAGATGAAAAGAATTAGATTACTGCAGATCACTGTGGCTTACCCATTAACTTAGTATATGAAATACAGACTCTACCTCCTTTTCTTTATTTTTCTCTACAGACTAGCATAAAAGTAGTAATTTAAAAATAACAACTACTCTAGGTGAACTACATTATCTGTATTTTGGAAACAAAATGCTGCTCAAAATGTTACTTATGAGGGCAGTGTATTCAACATAGCTCTTGGGGACAATAATGCACCAAGTTACAGGCACCACCTGACTAATAAATGCCTTTTTGCTCGTCACAGGCAAAGGCTAAAAAGGACTCGACAACACAGAAAACGAAGGGTGTCAATCACAGGAGTAGGACAATGGTTTTCAGAGAACAGGCCACTGAACATAGGTGGATGGTATATCTGGAGGAACCACAGCTAGTGTCAGATTACAGAGCAGCCCTTCTTCCTTCTGAGTCCTTTGAAGTCCACGTACCAATTTACTAGGAAATGTGTATGGGGGAGGATGAAGGCTGTAATTGGAAAGTCATGGCAGCAGTGCTTCTCCTAAGATCAGTATCTGATTGAAAAAAATATTATTATTATTTGAGCATAATGGTGGCTCATACTGACAACCTACTGGGGGTGGGCTTCAGGCTGCTGTATCTCACTGGACCTGGAAGATTAGCAGAGAGAGCAAACTCGGGCAGACCTTCCAACCACATGTACATGTTCAAAGGCACGTATTAAATGAGGATTAGCAAGGCATATGTTGATCCAGAAGCTCCTTTAGGAACACTCTGCTACCAAGTCTACTTATGGGAATGACCATTCAAAGAAATGGTTCTCCTCCAAGAACTGCAGGCTAAAGGAACAATCTTTGTTATTCTGAACTCTGCTGAAATGGAGGCTCAGGGGAGACCCCATTACTCTCTACAACTTCCTGAAGGCAGGCTGTAGCAAGGTGGGGCTCAGTCTTTTCTCCCAGGCAACTAGCAACAGGACAGCAGGACATCGTCTAAAGCTGCACCAGGGGAGGTTCAGGTTGGACATCAGGAGGAATTTTTTCATTGAAAGGGTGGTTAAGCATTGGAATGGACTGCCCAGGACACTGGTGGAGTCACCATCCCTGGAGGTGTTCAAGAAATGACTGGACAAGGTACCTACTGCTATGGTCTAGCTGACAAGGTGGTGTTCGGTCAAAGGTTTGACTTGATCTTAGAGGTCTTTTCTGAACTAGATGATTCCAAATGAAATGATTCTATGATTCTATGAAATGGTCTTCTGGGGAATAATTTAGTCTAAGGGGATAAAAGTACATTAGACCGGACAATAAGGAAACCAAATCCAGAAACACAGAGGCTGTATCAGTGAACTCCACAGTACCAGGGTATGTTCCCAAGCATTTGACTTTGATCACCTCATATTAATTTATGCTTGGCATAGTCTCAGCCCAGCATACTCCCAGACACCATTTAGGAATCAGCAGATCAAGGACCACCCTAAGAAGGACCATCCTAACAGGCAGGGTGGAAACAAGTGTCTCCTTTCAGAGGATACAACTTTTCAACAGTGTGGATACAGATGCTACACATTGACATTTGTCCCCAGAGTCACACAAAGGTGCTAGACACTTGATTTAATTGTAGAGATATAGTCAAGGAGGTGCACCATAACTTCATGGTGTTGTCTTGCAAGGTCTCCTGATTAAGGGGAGCAAAACTTTCACTGGAAGACCTGATTCCTGCAAGGGAGAGTAGTCCTTGCATCTTTTAGCCTATTGATGTGTGCTCGCCCACTCCAGAACAGAAAGTTCTGCAAAACTTTTCACTGGTTCAAAGCAGTAAAGGACTTCTTCATGCATGCTTTGGTTGAAGCCCTCTCCCAATTAAAAACGTGTAGGCATTTCTGACAATTTTGTTTGCTCCCACCCTTCCTGTGTCTACTACACTCACAAGCTGCTGGCAAAACTGAATCATCATGTGATATGTGTTTCTTAGATATATGTCCATTTCAGGAGCAACTTCTCTCAACACAAGTCTGTGGCACTTAATCCAGACTAAAATCTCTCAAAGGGCATAAGTACTCAGGCTGATTTGTCACACAGAAGTGCCTTGTGAATTCTGGGATCTCAGCCAAGGACACAGTGGATTTCTCCTTGTCAGCAGAGACCTACTGCAGTAAAAGGCTTAACATTTTTTTGGAATAAGCTCTCTCCTTTGAGCTATGGGAGAGAATTATTGTATACTGATCAACTGTCCTGTGGGAATACACCAATGCCCTTAATCAAGCAGCCCCAGGTGGTGTGATGAGCAACCCTGGACAATCCTGGACACCACTAAGTGCTGGGAGCAGTGCTCTTAAACTCAGCACCTCTGGGGCAGCTAATAAAACATGAATTCTTCAAAAGGCAAGGCGGACAAAGACAAAGTGGCATCTGTTGTCAAGACTGCTAGTAGCACTGAACAAACCTTTAATTGGTCCTTTGATCTACCATGAAAACGGGACATCCTTGAGACTCAGAAGATTTAGGCATTTCTGAGAGCTGCGTACTCTGACAACACGCGTGAGGTCAAGATGCGCAAGTCAGTCTGCAATGACTAGAGGAGCTAGAGAGGCAGGAAGGACTCATTACAAACAAGAAATGTATGAAACCCAGAGGATCTGGGATTCGTTTTTTCAAATACTCCATGTTGGCTCAGTGGTCAGGCATAAGAAGAATGCAGGACGATTGGGAGGACTGTCAAAATAGCAAAAAAGTTCAGCTATTAGCCTATGCTCAAATGTCCTCCAGAGTTGGCCGAGTAGGTAAATCCTGGATACTCTTTACCAAGGATGTAACAATTCGAGCTTACTGCTCACAAGCCTTTAGGGTACACTTGCAAGGAAGAACTGAGAAAATTCAGCAGGCCTCTGGGTACATGAACCTGAAAACTGATCTTTGTTTGAAACCCTGGCCTGTGGGGGATCTGTCTACCTTCCCACCCTCAGATGCCTCTCACCAACCATTCAAGCCCAGTAACATCCCCAGCGTGAGGGCAAGAGTCAGTGGGTGGGGTCTCTGTGCAGGTATGTTCAGACTCATGGATGGGATGTGGTGTCACACAGGCATAGCTCAGGTCCTTTTTAAGGGCAGAACCGCTGCCTCTCCTTTCTATTTCATATAGAAACTAACATAATCCTGCTGCCTTTGGCAAAAAAAACCCCACGATGGGTCCAACACACCTTTCAGTAGCCAAATATCATCATGAAGGTCCACTTAGGTTTGCAGAAAATATTAAGAGATTTTCTGCCTTTGATCAGCAGAGGAAGATCATTCCTGGCTCTGGGTCTGGAATCAATTCCTCTGGTGACCCCTTTGTGATGACTGGAAGGGGTTGATAGCTGTGAAACCTCTTGCAGGTCCCACTTTCTATCCACAGGAATCGGGACCTACAGTGTCTCTGTTCTGCAGGGTACTGGGGACAAGAAAAGACCTCAATACTCTGCTTATGGCACATGGTATTTGCAAAGTGTCCCAAAACAAGGAGCTTCAGTTCCACCTCCCTAAGCCTGTCTCTTTGCAAAAGGACCTGCAGACAGAGCAACAACCAGCACCCTGGCTGCCCATGAGAACCAGTAGACCAAAGCCAGGATCTGCTTGCTCTATCACTCCAAGTCAGAGCATTGAAACAGCAATGTTTTCCTTTCCAAACGCATGATTGCTGACAAGTAGAAAGAGTTTGCCTCTTATTCTTAAACACACAGATTTTAAAAACTTAAAAATCCAGACATTGCCATTCTGGTGAAAAAAATATATTTTTTGCCTCTCCCCAGAAAGACCCTATGCAAGGAAGTCCCATTTTTGTATTCTGGGAGAAAAGCACCATCCAGTTCTCCCAGTAAGAAAAATATTACTGTATTCTCTGTGGTCTGATTTGAGGGTCTGCCTTGGAAAACCTTGGAGTCACTATGCCAGAAAGATGGAGTCAAGCCCTTAATTTTTAAAAAGCTGCTTTGTCTCTGCATTTGTTCAAATAGCAAACTGACATGGTGTGGCAAAAGGCTGGGTTCATTAATTTAAAAATTTTAATTGAAAAGCAATTCAGATTTGTAACATATGCATCTGTGGAACTGATAGCATCTGTATCAGGAAAGTGACTTGAAAGAAGTTTTGGCAATTTGGAGGGAAGAAAGGAGACCCGAGTGATTACCACCTGCCCCCCCACTAAAGCAAAAAAAGAAGCTGCAAACAGGAAACATCCTCGAACTTGGGAGACAAAGAGTTAATTATAATGGGGAGAAGTTTCTCAGTTTGACCTAGAAAAAGGTGAGCTTCAGCACAGATGTCTTTATAACCACCTTGATCTCAGCATCACAGTTTGATTTGGCAGTGTCCCTTTTCCACTATCACTATCTCAATGACCTGTTTTGTTTTGGCTGAAAGGAGATATTTTTTCACTGTAGTCCAGAAAAACAAAAAAAGAATACACCATGTCCATGTCTAAACTTCTCTGGAAAAAAACCTTTATCATCAACTAGCTAAAAATCAAGTAATTCTCCTGAAAACTATACTGTTCTGTTGTGAGAAATCTTTTGGGATACAGCTGGCTCAAATGCAGCCATTTGGCTTTAGCAATTTTGTAAGCAGTGCTTTGGGATTTTGTATGTTAATTCTAGATCACCTATTTTAAGATGATGATTTTATTATTCCTATCACCTTCAGCAGGAAACAGACATAGTATTACAAACAATGGAGAACAGTAGTGTTCACCACCACATTTCCATGTAAACATCATGCAGACAGAACATATTTAGCTCTGGCATCTTTATAATCAAATTGATTTTTCTCTTCCAGCCCAAAGATGATAATGCTCAGTGTGAAAGCAAAAGGATGAGAAACATCTACAAAACTTAGGATACAGTATTATGGACAGTGAGACTGAAGGGATGTTAGGAGGCTGGCCAATCCATCTCTAAGGCTGGATCCACTCTTCCTAACCCATTCCAGACAGAATAACCAGTTCACAAAAACCTCTGATGAAAGCACTTCTGTAGCTCATCCAGGTAAACCTGTGCCCTGGTTTAAAAGGCTGTTTGCTAGTAAGCTTCTCTAAAGGTCGATCCCAAACTTCCCTTGCTTCAAATTGAAGCCCAACCACAATGGATGGGAAGAACAATTCACACCTTTGGGACGTGCAGTGCGGAGTAAAGTGTGCTTTCACCAGTTCAGGGTAAATTCCAGGTCAGATCTCTTTATTTTACAGATCATGGTATGTGATTCACTTTTAACTTTGTGGAGAACTTGAGCCTGGTACTACTGCAGAAAAAGAACAGTAATACAGTTCTCTCTTCAGAGCTGTACTTGTGCTTTCCTGTTCATAAAGGGTAAATGAATACTCCTATTGAGAGTCTTTGAAGCACATGTGCTAAGGTGCCACTTTTCTTGACTACAAAATTGGAGTCAATGGTAGCCTTTTCTTTGCATGGGCTTTGGATCAGACTATAATTCTACTGGAAATGCAGAGCAAAGCATTTAGGATGATGGCATGCCTAGCTCACAACTAGTAAGATAAGAATCAAGGTAGCAATCTTTCCCCCTCTTCTGTATCACCATTACCCTCCCCTGCCTATGGACTTATTGATAGCCACTAATCCACCAAATAATATATTTCCAGAGCAGCTCTTAAACCTGTGTTTAGCTTGTAAGAGTCTTAGATCCTCAAAGGGATTCTGGCTGGAGGAAAGGCATTCCTTCAAAATGTCAGCATTGCAAGGGAGTTTATACTGGGTTTTGCAGACTTATCTTCACCTCTGACTTACCTCTCACTTCTTCCCCTAACAAGTGCATCAGGGAAGCAAAAGAATAATCTTTGGAAGGGAGAGTGGACCTTCCTCAATCCCATCACAGCAAAACTGACCATGTTTCCTTCCTATTCAGGTCACAACAGCAGAGCAAGAGAGTTACGTGCCTCCTCCCTCTAGCTCAGGCAACCACAGGGTTCCTTGGGGTTATTACTTTACACCAATTACATCCCTCTGTAAAAGTGAGGAGAAACATTTTCACACTCCCTCTTTCAGCTAGTACTCTCGGCTCTAGAGGTAAAGGCACAGTCTCTTTGACCATGCCCAGAATGAGTTTTGTTTCTCATCATGGAAAGTAATTGTCACATTAGTCCCAGCCATCTGTCAGTCTCAGACAGGAACAGACAACTGGCCTCTTTGAGCATTCCACTGTGAGAAGGTGACTTTATACCTACCCAAAGTCTTATTTAAGGAAGAGTCTGAATTCTTCCTCTTCCAGCCTGCTTGCAATTTTCCCCCAAATAAGGGACATGAACTAGACTACGTAAATGCCAAAGCAGTTACCACCTATACAAGAGAAAGTGATCTCATAAATCACCTTGACTGAAGTTCATGGGACCAGAGCCAGTCATGAGCCAGTTCCCACCTGGAGGCTGCCCAAGCGTATCAGACACGGTATGGTTTCCTGGCAAGAGCTGGAGGAAAATTCTGACATCAAGAAAGTCACACAATGGATTCTGTTGGGTCTAAAGTACCTGTGACAGGGTCTGGCAAACAGCTCTGATGTGACATGGAAGATTCACACGGCGTGTTCCAGGTCCAAGACACAGTCTGGGAAAATGTTTCCCACCATGATTTTTATGATGCTCATCAGAGATGGCACTTTTTGCTGATTCCCCTTAGCAGCACACCTTCTTTACTATTCTGACATTGCCTAACAAACATCTGAACTGGGACTGCAATCCCGGTTGGAACCAGCAGCCCTTTTTAAGCGAGGCTGCACACCTTGACAAGAAACTCATTTGCAGATCATGAACTTAAAACAAGGAAGAGTGGAAGCCAATTGGCCTGCAAGACCTATGGCAGTTGCTAGGACTTCTAGCACAAAAGGTGCAGCAGCATGCACTCTAAACATATATTATTCCCAAGAAGGTGATGTTTCAGATATGTAAATACGTGCAGGGAAATATTTTGTACAGGCAAAATAGACAGAAAACAGCATTCTTCTATTTTACACCAAAATCTGCAAGTGGCAAGATCTAAAGGAGACCCTTCTACTCATTGCTGGCATAACTAGACCACATGAAACCTGAGCACAGGGAAATGTCAATTTAACACAATCTGAAACAGAAGCTTTTGCTTGTCTGCAGTATTTCCACAGTTAACAAGTGTTCACCTGTCAAAAGCAGGTAAGGATTGGGGGTGATATCAGACTTTGTCCAATTTATCATCTTTCATATTAGGCTGTTGTCAAGTTATCCATAGTTAATCAGGAGACAAACCAAGACAATAAACCAACAGCAGGAAACTCAATCCAAGACGTGTGTTTCTATTCAGCGGTTCTGACACAATGTACAGAAAGATAAAGGGAGAAGTCAACTTCTGTTTTATTTATGCAGTCATAGAACAACAGAGGATTTAATTTCTCTCTTTTCAGGCTGAAGTTTCCTACTAAATGAAATTCCTCTTTCCTTACAAATGTAGTTGGCTCCTATCATTAACAACTCCCCTTGCTGGAGAAACAGATGAGGCTGAATTGTCAGGTCATTCATTACCAGAAAATCAAACTCATTATGTACTCTGGCTATCTTCTACAGGCTTTGGAGCCCACACAGATGGTGTCATAGGAGGTATAAACAGATTACTATACAGGTACTATTTTTAAACTCCTAATTTCTACACAGTATACTTACACTGCCCATTCCAGCTTCTCATTCTTGATTGAATTGTAGAGGGCCTGCAAAAGGAGAGAAATGAGATGGAATTATTGCTTGAGCCTTATCACACATGAATACATTAAGGAAATATACACATATGTTGAGGAAAGGGACCCAACTAATATCAGCAAGCAAGTTGCCTCTGACCAAGAAAGTACCATATCTGCTCACAGGAATACAAAAATGTAGAGCAGAAATCTCATCTATGGAAAATATCCTAAATGCAGGTTTTGAGACTACAGTCATTTCCTCAAGCAGGTTTTTGGGGTTCGTGGTCTGTGCCTTCTTAAAATAGGAGAATCACAGAATGGCCTGGGTTGGAAGGGACCTTAAAGATCGTCTACTTCCAACACCCCTCCCATGGACAGAGACACCTTTCACCAGACCAAGTTGCTCAGAGCTCCATCCAAACTGGCCTTGAACACTTCCAGGGATGGGGCATCCACAATTTCTTTGGGCAATCTGTTCCAGTGCCTCACTAACCTCACAGTAACGAATTTTTTCCTAATATCTAATCTAAACATACTCTCAGTTTGAAGCCATTCCCCCTTGTCCTGTCACTACATGCTCCTGTAAAAAGTACTTGTAAGCTCCCTTCAGGTACTGGAAGGCTGCAATTAGGTCACCCCAAAGCCTTTTCTTTTCCAGGCTGAACAATCCCAGTTCTCTCAGCCTTTCCTCATAGGAGACGTGATCCATCCCTCTCCTCATCTTGCTGGCCCTCCTCTGGACTTGCTCCAACAGGTCCATGTCCTTCCTGTGCTGAGGGCCCCAGAGTTGGATGCAGTGCTCCAGATGGGGACTCAGCAAAGCAGAGGGGCAGAATCCCCTTCTTTGCCCTGCTGGCCACGCTGTTTTTGATGCAGCCCAGGACACAACTGGCTTTCTGAGCTGTGAGTGCACATTGCTGGGTCATGTCCAGCCTCTCACCCACCAGCACCCCTGGGTCCTTCTCAACAGGGCTGCTCTCAATCTGTTCATCCCCCAGCCTGTGCTGATACTGGGGGTTGCCCTGACTCAGGTGCAGCACTGTGAACTTGGTCTTTTTAAACCTCATGAAATTCCTATGGGCCCACTTCTTGAACTTGTTCAGGTCCCTCTGGATGGCATCCTGTGCTTCTGGTGTGTCAACTGCATCAGTCAGCTTGGTGTCATCTGCAAATCTGCTGAGGCTCCACTCAGTCCCTTTGTCTGTGTCATTAATGAAGACATTATAACACCGGTGCCAATACGGACCCCTGAGGGAAACTACTTGTCACTGATGTCCATTGGGACTCAAGAAACATTGACCACCACACTCCAGATGTGATCGTCCAATCACTTTCATATCCAACAGTCCTTGAAATTCAAGGTCCAACTTAATTTCTGACACTCAGTGAGACCTTTTTGTCATTTACTTTAATGGGGGCCAAGATTTCACCATATCGACTTGCCTGTGAAAACCTGCTAAGGAGCTCTGTACCAAATGCAAACAGCCAAAGGGCATTTCTGCCAATTTGCAGGCATTTTGCTTCATTTTCAGATGAGGCCTATCAAGAGATTTTAAGACCACTGTGCAGGAAGAAAGCAAAAGAAAGAGCTAGTATTTCTCCTACCATGTTGCCAGCAGTCCAGCAGAATTAGACACACCTCCATTTTTCTACACAAGCTCATACTGATGCTAGTTGCCTGGGGTCACCCAGTATTTTTTATTAGATACCTCTATGTTTCTTAACTATTTGGCCAAAGCCCCCCTCTTATTCTTTGACTCATTCTTATCTTCCTACTATGATCAAAATATCTCTTACATTTTGAGCCAGAAAACTACTTCCAATAAAAGGGGTAATGGCTGCATACTTTCCCCAGTTGCTGCCCCATTTTTTCAGAAGTAGCATTTTTTTCCCCCCAGCTGGCTGAATGAATTTTTGAAACAGCAAAAACCTGGCTTGGGGAAACACAATTGTTGCTCTATGGCCCAAATGCCTACAATATTGGGTCACAACCTCTGAAAATGAACACCTGCTCTGTGCAGTACTGCATTTTATGAGATTTCACCGCTAGGAGACTCTCCAGGGATCACTGCAGCCAAAGAGCAGGACACACGAAAGCAGAAGTCCAGATTGATACAGGAACAACAAATGCCCCAGGCTTCTGCCTTGTGAAATGTGACATGTGTTTGTCCCAATCTCTACTAATAAGTCAGATTCCCTCTTCCTTCTTTAGGGAGTAACAGACACTAACCCAGTCATACGGCATACGTTTGACAAAGGACACCGTCTCCATCAAACATAGCCTGTCAGAAAGTCTCTGCTATTTACAAAACAGAAAAAAAATCCTAGGGAGTATCCACAGCCTGGGCAGCTGCATACAGGGCATATTTGGTGTGTCTACCGAGCATGTTCACGGAGACCTCATCAAGAAGACCTCTCAAGGAATGCAGACACATGAGTTCTCATGCCTGTCCTCCAACCTGCATCTCTGGCAGAGACTGCTGCCAGGCTGCACACCTGATTCTGGACTCAGCAGCCTTTTAGAGCTGTTTTATGTCCCTTCTCCAAAACAGTTTACGCTTTAACACTTTCCTGCTGTCTACTGGGCACTCACATGTTCCAGAGAAGTAAAATTTCCCCCTGCCATGTTTTGCAGCCAGCAGCGGACGTGTACAGCACAGCACCTGCTCTACCATTTATTTGATGGCTGTTCCCCAAGGCCCTGATTCAGACAGCAGCTCTTTTCAGCAGACATTTCTCCAGGGTATGACTAAATCAAACAAACTCTGAGACAAGCACCTAAATGCTTCACAAGCTGATCAGAGATTATGGCGTGGTCATGACTTTCACTGTACTTAACTGGCTGCAAGAACAGCTTTTATTAACTCGTGTTTTCTCTCTGGGAGATGAAAAAAAAGGAAAAAACCTCTAATTTAAAACACTCTTACAGTTCGACAACAATCACCACTTCTTACCTGCTAGCCCGGGAAGTGCTTGGAAAATTAACTGTGCAAGCCAGAAAATGGGAGGCTCAACCACAGCAGGGAATGCTAGAATGAATACTGTGTGGGTCTCATTTTCCAAGCTGGACTGATACCACTTGGAAAGGGGAAAGATTTTCTATCTCCTTTGGCACCCAAGGCTACTATAGCCAGGATCCAAACCCCAACATATCAACCACTCGGCAGTGTCTGACTTCAACTCTTTGACTTTTTAGTTATATTACCCAGAATGCAAAGACATACTCCTTAACAGCTTACATCTTTTCTCTTTCTCATAACTGCTGATCTCTTGGTCCACCACACCTGAGGCCCAGTATTGCTGTTAGCTTCTTGGAGAAACAAATGCAGTTTTGAAGGTAGAATAAAAGAAATTGCTGCATAAAACAGAACAGCAGGCAAAATCATAGACATCTTCCTCATTTTAACTCCAGTGCTCTTTCTTACAGCTTCAATTTGAACCTTAGAAGATTGCAGTGTAAAAAAAGATGAGATTTTTCATGTGTTTGTGGGATTTGTTTGTATTTCTTCATAAACTAGGCACGAACTACTTTCCTTTTTAAGTGGAAGGCTGTAACTCTTTAAGAAACTGCTGAATCCCATCCCCATTTTCCCTTTGGTAAGCAGGTAGGACAACTAACAACCCAGATTTTCACAAGGCTCTCACCAGTTGGTACTTTTATTCCAACGGGAAGGAGAAGCAAAACTATGCAGAGAACGCTTTTGAAAACTCCTGTTTATTTTATAGAGCTGCCAAGAGAAAAAAAAGGTCACTCGCCATCCTCACCTTCCTCAAAACCTCCTCACATGCACAAACCACTGGACCCATTTAAACAGGCTGCTCTTGTCACCTGCTGGCTTCCAGCTATGCTGTGAGTCACCCTCTGCATGCAGAAGCAGCGCACAAAAGAAAGGCACAAGCAGGTGAGCACAGAGGCACAAAGAGGCAGCAAATTACCCAGATACCCATCCTGGTAAATCGTCTAGGAAACAGCCAGCACAGGGTCTGCAAAGCCTGGCCAGCAGGGTCCAAGATGAGCACTGTACAAGCCCTCCCCTCAAAAGGCAACATAGGGCTATCTCATGAAGCAAACTACTGACTCTCTGTATGCACCAGCCCATGCAGAAAAGCCTGCCAAGAGGGAAAGGAATGCACCACAGGTGTTTTTTATATTTGCTCCACACACAAAGGAGGAGCCAGAAACACCTGCCATGAGCAGGAGAATAGGCAAAACCAAATCCAAGTTCAGAGAGACGGCAGGGATGACCCAGACTGTCTTCTCTAGTTCTTGTCTCCCATGCTCTTTGCTTGCAACCAATTCCTCTCTGATTTCTGGAGTTATTGTCGGGGAAAGGATCATCTGATTATCATAGGATATACAGCCTAGGTGGGTTTTAATGCCCCAAGGACAGGGATGCACTCGTGCTCTCTGACCCAGGTCCCTGCCACTCTTCCCTGCTACCAGTGGCAGAAGTCCTGTCTGAGTGAATTTCTTCACCTTCAGCTGATAATGGCATGCTTGATCCCAGGCAGCCAAGGAAGCCCTGGATGCACCTCTGGGCAAAGACATGCTCAGTCTTTGCAGTTAGAAGTTCAGCATCTCCCCCAGTCACTCAATAGCCATCCACTGGCTCTGCCCTTCGGACCAGAGCAGTCAGCCAGGCACCAGCCCCAGCTCCTGCCATATGTGCTTCACTGGAGGGAGGAAAAACAACTAAAGTAGTAGAACCCTACAAAAATAAAACAGGTTACGGAGGCAAGAGATACCACACATGTTAGGTGTCTGAATCGAGTCTAAGAGGTGTTAATGTGTTCATCCTTTGGACCAGGGCATAGCTCTGTGTCATTGTCTCCTGCTAGGTTTGGAAGGGGTGCAACACACTGCTACATACCACTCCTGGTTTGCTGTATAGGTGACTGCGTGAAAGTGGCCCTCCCTCAGAACTGTTGCTTGCATACAGATCTATACTACTTCACCACCTGCTGTTTGACACCCTCCCCCAAAATCCAGATCTTGACATTTTCTCCTGTCCTCGTGCACAGATCTGTAA